GGCAGTTTCATGACTGAAAAGAAGTCTGTCTCAGCAAGTGCCAGGGAACAACGTTTGATTTTATTTTTATTCTCTTGCGGACTATCGTGTTTTATTGTCGGCTACCGGTAACTAGGGTTGGCTCATTAGAATTGCGTAGGTCCCAGATTTTCGTCTTGGGAGAAAGGAAACAGTGGAAGAATGTCACTCAGCACCTTCACTGTGGTAGGGTCCCCTCCCTAAGGAGGGAGAAAAAAGGGAGAGAAAACTCCCAAGGTAACCTGGTGACGCGCCTACATGACAACATCCCTCATGACCTTGTCAACTGAGCCTGCTTAATCAGACTGCATGTTTACATGTGTTACCATATACGGGAGACAAAGAAAGAGAAAATGTATAAAACAACTATGCCACGTGATGTGCGGCGCCCAGATCTTGGGGCACAAACCCAACTGAGCGGTGCCGGCATGAATAAAAGTTGCCTCCTGGATAAAAAGCCTCAGCGTCACGACTCTCTCTGTGTGAGAATCCCGCCACATCACCTTACACCAACCATCTGCCAGCGTTTTCCACCGGTCGAACCCCACCGGAACCCAGGGAGCTCACTGTTGGATTTCAAAGTTTTGGGTATTTGCTTTCAAATAAATGTACAATGAGACTTCCATTTCCAATTACGACACAGAGCACGTAGAAAGGCCTTTGATCTCATGGTAACGAGAAATTTCACCCGGACCAAATAAAAATATACTTTTCTGGGCGTCCAGCAAAGGGTAATAAATGCACAGAAGCCTCGATGACCCACATTCAGTAAGAAACAAGCCCTTCACAGGCAAGCTGAAAGCCAGCCTAGGGTGCATGTCTGCATAGGCTGAGCCTGGCTAGTCTGAAGCGGGGGGAGGAAGTAGTCCACGGACGGACCTGACCTGGCAGGAACACGGACAGAGACCAGCATTACGGGACAGTGCGAACCGGTAGGACAGACAGACTGGAATCTGGAAGAACCAAAAATGCAGCAGCAAATCACCTTTCCTAGTAATTCTTCCAATCTACCCCCCATACCCTCCTGTGCAAAAGCAGACAAGAGAGCAACAGTGAAGATGCTAGAAAGCCAAGGGAAATCACAGAGCCCATGCATTCTCATGGTATTTCAATCTCTGAGGACAAAGGGGAATCAAAGCATCTAAAATGGTAGTCCAAGCCTCTCCCAGATGAAATGTTGAGATCATAAAAAAAAGGAGTATCAGGTGAACTCATTTTAATTAAAAGTATAACCCATAGTTTAGCTAAATTCTGAGGGATCTGAATATTCAGTTCCTCACCCTAATCTCCATTATGAAGAAAGAGCAGGCAGGCTCTGAGATCTGAACCAAACAAAATATTATACTTCAGTCTTTCCTGTTTTATTTACACCACCTAGGGTACGATTTTTAAAATTATGAAATATACAAAGAAACAGGAAAATGTGATCCATAATTAAGAATTAACACGAAAATGTGATCCATGATTAAGAATTAACACGTCAATAAGAAAACAAACACAGATGACTCCATCAATGAAATAAGTAGTTAAGAACTTTAAAACAACTACAAAAAATATATTGAAGAATATATAGAAAAATAGGGGTGCTTGGGTGGCTCAGTCGGCTAAGCATCCAACTCCTGATTTCGGCTCAGGTCATGATCTCATGTTCCTGAGATCGAGCCCCACGTCAAGCTCTGTGCTGACAACATGGAGCCTGCTTGGAATTCTCTCTCCCTCTCTGTCTGCCCTTCCCCCACCCGCAGCACACACACTCTGGCTCTCTCAAAAATAAATAAATGTTAAAAAAAAAAAAGAAAATACGGAAAATAAGTGTACAATGGGAGAAGATCTGAGATACATTAGTACAGAACAGAAATTCTAAAACAGAACTAAATAAAAATCTAAAAATACAGCATTTGAATAAAAAGTTTCTTGGATGGGATATCTCCTGAGGCAAAGGAAATAAACACAAAGGTGGGCTATCAGGACTACATAAAAATAAAAAGTTTCTGCACAGTGAAGGAAACAATCAACAAAACTAAAAGGCAACCGACAGAATGGGAGAAGATATTTGCAAATGACATGCAGGATAAAGTGTTAGTATCCAAAATCTAATGAAGAACTTACAAACTCAACACCCAAAAAGCAAATAATCCAGTGAAGACATGGGCAGAAGACACGAATAGACACTTTTCCAAAGAAGACATCCAGATGGCCAACAGACACGTGAAAAGATGCTCAACGTCACTCAGGATCAGAAAAACACAAATCGCAACTATAATGAGATATCGCCTCACACCTGTCAGAATGACTAAAATCAACAACACAAGGAACAACACGTGTTGTCAAGGATATGGGGAAAAAAAAGGAACCCTCCTGCACTGCCAGGGGGGACACAAACTGGTGCAGCTACTCTGGAAAACGATATGGAGTTTCCTCAAAAATTGCAAATGGAAATACTCTACCACCCGGTCACGGCACTACTGGGTATTTACCCAAAAAGTACACAAAAATTGTTTAATTCAAAGTGATACGTGCACCCCTATGCTTACAGCAGCATTATTTATAATAGCCAAACTATGGAAACAGCACAAATGTCCATCAATAGACGAATGGATAAAGAAGATGTGTTTTATACACACACACACACACACACACACACACACACACACACAAAGGAATATTATTCAGCCATGACAAAGAGTGCAATCTTGCCATCTGCAACAACATGGATGAATCTAGAGGGTACTGCGCTAATTGAAATAAATCAGTCAGAGAAAGACAAATACCATACGATTTCATTTGTATGTGGGCTTTCAGAAACAAAACAAATGAGCAAAGAAAAAAAGTGAGAAACACACCAAGAAACAGACTTTTAAATACGGAAAACAAACTGATGGTTATCAGAGGGGAAGAGGGAGGAGGGATGGGTTAAATAGGTGATGGGGATTAAATGGTACACTTATCATGATGAGCACTGAGTAATGTATAGAATTGTTGAATCACTATATTCTACACCTGAAACTAATAGAACATGGTATATTAATAATACTGAGATTAAAAAGAAAAAATTAACAAAGTGAAAATCTGGAAAAAGAGGCGTTTGTTGGATGGGTCTGCTAACTGGACATTTCAAAAGAACAAGTCAGTAATCTTACATTTTCCAAATTAAACAGAGAAAAAGAGAAAGAAAAAACATGAACTAAGTAGCAATGACTTGAGAAATAATATCAAACAATCCAAAATATAAGTAGAGGAGAGAGAATGATGGTATTTAAAATATTTTAAGGAATGTGAATGAAATGTACCAAATTTGAAAAATATCAGACCGCTAACTCGAGATGCTCAATGAATCCAAAGCAGAAAAATACAAAGAAAACCATACCTAGACCTATCACGGTCTAATTTCTGAAAGCTAAACATAAAAAGCAAAGGTATAATAAACAAACAAATAAATCAATAGCAAGAGGGAACAAACACATTACATACAAAGATATTAATGATGGCCAGTTTCTCAGTAGGAGAAATAGAAGTCAGAATTTGTCACGAGCAGATCCACATTACAGGAAATGATGCAGGAAGTTCTTCGGGTTGAAGGCAAATGACACCAAACAGAAGAACTCCGATCTACAAGAAGGAGTAAAGAGTGTAGGCATGGTAAAGTTTTTTTTAATTTTTTAAAAGTTTTTTTTTTTTCTTTTTTTTTTTTTTTTACCTTTTTTAAAAAAGATAATTGGCTACAAAGCAAAACATACTATTGTCTTGTGAGGTTGATAACTTAGGTAGAAGCAAAATGGATAACAACAGATCAGCAGAGGGTAAATGGAAATGTATTGTTGTAAGGTTCTCAGATTAATCTGAAAGTTGTAATACGAATTCAATATTAAATAGATGGATCCTTAGAACAACCAGTAAAAAATAAAAACAAACCTTGGCTAAACAGCCAAGGAGATAAAATGGCATACTAAAAAAATACTTGATAGGGGTGCCTGAGTGGCTCAGTCGGTTGGGCGTCCGACTTCGGCTCAGGTCATGATCTCACGGTCTGTGAGTTCCAACCCCGCGTCGGGCTCTGTGCTGACAGCTCAGAGCCTGAGCCTGCTTTGGATTCTGTGCCTCCCCTCTCTCTCTCTTCCCACCTCTGCTGATGCTCTGTCTCCCTCTGTCTCAAAAATAAACATTAAAAAAGATGTTTAATAAAAAATACTTGATAAATCCAAACTTAGGCAGAACGAAAGGACAAACCCATCAAATAAACAGAACACAAGTAACAAGAGAGTAGACTTAAAATTAGCCATATCAATAATTACATCTCTCCCGATTTCTCTACCCACACTGTGCAAAGTTCAAGCCCAAAGCAAAGCCAGGTTCTCGACTTCACCAATAGCCAAGCATCACCCGAGGCCCCTCCCCCAGAAATAAATAAGCCTAAGGCGAGGCCTTGAAATCTTTACTGTAAATATGTGTCTCAGGTGATTCTTACAAAAAAACTAGTTTGCATCTCATCTGTACCTTCAGGTTTTCACACCGATGCGGACAGACACTCGGAGCCCCCGCGTCACGGGCTACATGACCTTGGCAAGTCAATTCATCTCCCTCAACGCGGCTCTCCTCTATACAATGGAGACATCTCCACCTTTCAGAAGTGGAGCCGTGCCACGCCTCAAACCTAACAGGTGCTCAAGTCTTTGCTGAAGGAATGAACGAGAAAACGTGCAGCACAGGTACCGTGACCACGTGCCCACGCTGCACGGTTCGGAAGCTAGTCCAAACGTCACTACCTGGGCACACGGGGCTTCTCCATCCCTCCGACCTCCCCAACCCAAACATTTCAGCTTACGCTGCAAAACTCAATTGCTTGGAGCATGCCCGACTGGCCCGTGCCGTTTCACGCTTCAGTTCCCTGACTTGGTCTGGCGCATCTGGCTGCAATTTCCCTCCTGAATTTCTCCCCCCAGCTCCCCACCCCCAGCCCATCCCTTCACCTACGCAACACCTACCTTAGGGAGGTAGATGTGACTCAGCTGGGGGATGACCTTCCTCAGGAAAACTTCGCCAGGCACGTTCCCTTTTAGGCTAGCACATGCCGATCACCGCGCCTGGAAGCAATGAACATTGCAGGTGTCTCCCTAGAGCACTTCCTGGAGCAAAGGAGCACCTCGGCAAAAACCTGGGGACTAAGGAGAGTTGGAGAGGGGGGGAGCCAGTCTTCCTGGCCAAGAATTGGACCTGTGACCGAAACAGTTCAAACAGGGGTAGGAAAGGCCCCAGGTGGGGAGGAACTGAGGTCCACCCACCCAACCAAGAGCCAGCCAGCATCAATGCACCAGGCACCCAGCTGAGCCCCTCTGGATGTAGCTCCTCCAGGCCCCGTCCAGGCTCCCAGTGGCCACAGCCCCAGCAACACGCTGACTGCAATTTCCCGAGACACCCCAGACCCCCACAGAAATGGGAGGATGAGACACATCATTTTTTGAGCCACCAAGTTTCGTGGTCACTTCTTATGTAATGATAGAGAATACAGATTTCACTTCAACTCTTAGGCTTCTTTTTGCTCCGTATACCCATTTATCTAAAAGTATCCGTTTCATAGATAAAAAAAAAAAAAATCATCAAAGAGCCACAGAGGATACATGTTCTAGCTCCCTCTGGCCACACTCACCAAAGAGACATCGGATTTCTCAGATTCTAAAATGGTTTAAAAGATACCCTAGTTTCTGTTTTGTGAGGTATTCAGATTAAATGGGTCGACTATATAATTATGCCGTAAAAATAGAATGAGTCAAATGATATGATAAGGAATAGTTCGATATTCTTTGAATTACACTTGTTTCCAAATAGGACTTATTTTAATTATAGAATACACATTTCATTACTTTAAATCCTTGTAACTCTTTAAAGACATGTTTCAGTTCACGAAAGGCATTTTTACCTATGGACCCAAGAGTAAATTTAGAAATCACCTTTACTATATTCCTCCAAATTTAATCAAGTTAATAATATCTACATTAATTTTTATTGAAATAAGAAAAATTATTCCAAGAGTGTAAATTTTATGTACCCTAAAACAAAAAGAGCCTAGCTGTTTCAAAATAAAGAACATCAAATTTATCAGCTAAAAAAAAAAAAAAAAAAAAAAAACCCAATAAAAGGATACCATTTTTTAAAAATATTTTTTATTTTTTTTTTTTTTATTTTATTTTTTTTTAAAATTAGTGTGAACATACACACACGCATAAACAGGGGAGGGGGTGGGGGAAGAGAGAGAGGGAGAGAGAGGGAGAGAGAGGGAGAGAGAGGGAGAGAGAGGGAGAGAG